CCAGTAGAGTGTATAACCGGTACCATGTTCTCTAAGGTTGCCTTCCTCATGGAGACGAACTTCACTGAGAGCAGCAATGTCAATGTTGAGTCATGACAGTTCATGGGCAATTAGAGCAGAGCGACACTCAGGACATCCACTATCCGCAGTATCAAGCATGGTTCTGATGTTCCAGCATGCGAGTGTTAATTTGAGTACACCTTTGGAGGTAGGTGTATGCCTTTTAATCTTTATTTGACCGCAACAGAAGATGCCCGTTGGCCGCAGTTAACCAACCGGGTGAAGGGTGGAGATGAGCTTTGGTTAGACCACCTTTTCTAGGCCCCTCTCCATGTGGAGCAAGCAGTGCTCTCCTTGAAAAAGGTAGCTTGGTCATTCAGGATGCTGCCGAGTGAGTCTGTCATCTCCAGGGTCAGACTCAGGTGACCAATGTCCTGAACCGCCTGCGTGCAGGGTTAGGACTGCGGTTTCCAGTGCACCTTATCACCTGCCATTTCATCCCTCACCTGTCGCTGCAGGACTTTACAAGTGTGGGTATAACCCTCAAGCCTGCACAGTGGATTTTTTAGGTGAGGCTCAGCTTGCGCAAAACTGGTCCCACCCTTTACTCCTGAGGTTCATCTGCCAGGGCCTAGCAAGTTTGGACAGTGACAATGAGGTCTTCAGGACATAGGTTTAATTAGAGTATCCTTCTCTTGGATGGATGGCCTTACAGGGCTAAGCCAGCTCCATCTGCCCGGGTTTGAAATTAGAGTTGTCCTTCTCCCAGGATAACCGCCGTAAGGCTAGTGAGCTCATCCTGTGCATGGACACATTTGACCCTTCAGTTTCGACCTGTCTGGCATGGGAGACCCTACCGGAGGCATATGCTACCATCAGCACAGCTCACAACCTCATAAGGGCATACAGAAATAGTTTGGACAAGCCCTTCTCTTCCCTACTTTTCCTTCACAGTTTCCTACAGTTTAACCCAGGGACATTTCCTTTCCCTGAGCTCCCCTCTAAGACGCTATAAAAAAACCCAACCAACCAACCAAAAAAAACCACCACAAACAAACAAAACCCAAACAAACAAAACCGAAAAAACCCCAAAAAACCAACATCCAACACAAAAACCCACAACCCACAAAACAACAACAACAAAAACACATCACATTCCTAGGCAGAAGCCACAAGCAAGCCGAACCCATCATATCCCACTCCCACTCTCCCACTGCGTCAACGCTCAAAGAGGAGTGATCCTGGCATACCCCTGGGCAAGGGTGGGCACACGTGTAAGAGGTCCCTGCATCTACCCTAGGCTTGGGCACCCTCCACAGCCCCTGCCCAGCCCAAACCCCCCAACCCCCAGAGAAACCCACTGCCCACCCCAAACCTCATCCCCCAGCGTACCACTGCAAGCTCCTTTGCACTGTCCACCCGCAGCCCCCCAAACTAGGCCGCCTTGCCGGCTCCCCCACGTTGGCCCGGGGAAACCCCAGGTCCGTCCGCTCTCCCCCCTGCTCCTGCCCGGCCTGACCCGGCCCAGCTCGACCTGGGGATCTTTCCCCCCCTCTGAACGGGACCATCCACCCCCCCTCTCCGACAGTCTGGGGAACCCCCAGGACCGTCTGGCCCCTGCCCTGCACCCGCCCGGCCCGATCCAGCATGGCCCGGTCCCACGGACCGGCTTCGCATGGCCACCGGTCATTCACTAACCGCTCCGCCGCTCTGACGTCGAAACACAGCTCCTGACGGCTTCTCCATGAGGTCGACAGCACAGATTGGTGCAGCAGCATCTCCCATGCATGCAGGGTGGCGACGAGCCATGGGAGCAGGTGCGGGTCCCTCACCACCCACCACCCAGCTGCAGGAGCACGCTGAGCGTGTGGCCGCCTGCCCGCCCGCCATCTTGGTCCCCAGCACAAAGGAAATAAGACCACAGAAAAGGTCTAAAACCATGGGAGGTTAGCAATGGAGGCATCAGGGGCCTAACAGTCTGCTATCTGGTGCACCATAACCTTCACCAACCCTGTCTGCTCAACAGAGTGCCAAGCAGGGACCAATTTCCACATAGGCTGAGTGAGCCCAGTCTTATAATGTCTTACAAAGAAGGGATGCCTGAAGGGTACAATCACTACATTTTATGCAACCAGAGGTGCTGAACAGAATGGGAAAAATGCACAGCAGAAGAAAACCCCTAAAGAGAAAAGTTCTTTTTTCCTGGTTTACAATCTGAAACTCTTTTTTTTGGGGAGTCAAACAACCTCCCTTTTTTGCTATCCGTCTCATCACCACTCAGTTTAGGTTGCCAGAAGTTGCACCAAGTGCTCTGACATACTTCTGCTGTGCCACCCTGCGACGGTTTTAGTCTAGGCCTTCCTGGTAACCAGCTCGTAACCAAGGAAGTGGTCATTTACCCAGTATTCCATACGATTTTTACATAAACCAGGGTATAAATAAGATGGAGATTAGAGACCTCACTCTCTTCTCTTCCGGCGAGGTTCAGGAGCAGTGGGTCCTTGCGTTGGTCTCACTTATCTAGAGGTTGAGGCCTGCATCGACTGCTGGTCTACTACATGGGAGGTTGGAGAGTGCTGGTCGTGTCTGGCAATCTTGTTTTTCTGAGGGACGTGGTGAGATTAGTTTTGTTAGTTCTTTATTTTGCTAGTTCTTGGGTTTGATTGTGCATATCTATTCTGTTTTTGTCCCTTTTTCCCCTTTCCCTTTCCCTTCGAGAGTGTTTGGGAGCCCCTTTGCGGTGTACATAGTATTTTAATTGCATATAATTGTAATATACGTAAAAATATATATATTGATATAATTCGATTGGTTTCCGGTTCTTCAATTTTTATAGGTTTTTTTTTCCTTTGCCCTAAGGGAAGAAGAGAGGGGGAAGGGGTTGTTACCATGAGCTCGGGCATTTGGCAGGGAGCCAGGTCTGAACCATCACACACCCCCTTGCTGTTCTCTGTTAGTCCCTAGTGTACTCTCCTAACACTTTTCCTCCTGTAGTGCAGCTATCCTTTGTCCTGGGATTCCTCTATGTCAATGAGAGGCCTTCCTGTGTTCAGTCTGGCAAAAGAATGTAACACTGATACCTTGGAGTTTTGATTTTTTTAATTTTTGTAGACCTTAGAAGTAGTTATGTAGTAAATGTAGATTTTAGAGTAGCAGCATATTATCCCTTTACCCCTAACATACCAGCTCAAACCCCTGTTACCCATTCCCATATCAATTCCCTAAATTCCATAGCCTGTTTAGTCTCTTTTTCAAGGTAGAATTGTAAAAGAACACCCTAACCCTACGGAACAAGATATAGCCATAGACCCAACAACCTTCAGGCCTAGAATTCTGGAAGGCCTCCAAGGACATTACGTGCTCTGAGGAAGATGAAGATGAAGATGAAGAAGAGGGGGTCCCAAAACGCCCCCAGACCCAATTCCCAAGAGGCGTGGTGGGGGCAGAACCTGGGTGGTGGCTGGACAGGATTGGGTGAAAATCATTATAAAAACTGTGGACATCTGTATTTCGGGAGCGCGCTGGGGGTATTCCAAAAAGCCTGGGGGTTCATTAAAACTTTTGTATCCTTATCTTATCTCCTACCTAATTTGGCTTGGAGTCTTTTTTTCCCCACAGCCATTTAGGCAACATTTAAAAGAAATTAATATAAGTTATTAATAAAAAGTAATATTGGTTCCAATTTCCTGACCACTCAGGCAGTGGTCTCAGGAACTGTGGAGAACATGAAGGAGCCTTTTGATTCTTTAGTCATATGGATTGTTTGGGATATCAGATGTTGAGGAATATATTTAATGTAGGTGATATCTCAAGGGTCAGAAAGAGTTAACAATTCACCCAGAGAGTTACAGAGAATGAGAAGGGGGTTGTGAAATGGGGTCCTGCCTTATCAGTGAAACAGGGCTCATAGCTTCAAAGGAAGGGCCCTGAACAAAGGACCACCTGCACTTTTATACCCTTCACAGGATAGTCTGGAGTCTTCCTGCTGAGTCGCAGGCTCCTTCTGTGTCTCTTGTCACCTTGATGGTGCCACAGGTCACCATGTCCTTTGTAATGCAAGGGAATGGAAACAGTTCATGGCCTCTTGCTTTGGGCTTCAGCCTCACAGAGCTCAATCTGCAATTTGCACACCAATAGAAGGTAGAACACTAATTAATAAGAGAACTAGGTAGCTTGTACCCAATGAACTGTGATTTTTTTGTTTGCTAAAATGTATATATAGTTTTGAGAATCGGTATGCTAGCATCCATCTTTGCGTAAATATGAAATAAACAAATACCTTGGTTCTGTGTGCGATATTGGCTTTACTGCTCACTGCTATTAGGGACAACAAAAGGAGCTCTAGAAAACCCAGAATCCATGTCATTTCAGCTTGAACATTATCTAGGACTAAGGTACCAAATGTAATGAACATAACCTGGCAACCTGAACAGGCTTCAAAATCTGTGACATAAACAACTCCTGCCAAAACCCTGTAGGGCAGAAAAGCCACTTTTAAAAAGAAGTAAAACCTAAAAACCCCAGAACTCCTAGTTTAAACTGCTCCTTTGGCCAGTGAGAGGTACTGAGCCATGATTCTGAACGTTCACCCTGTTCCTAAACCCATGCCGCCAGCGCCCAGGCCCTGTGGTGCTAGGCCTTTATCTGCCCGCGGCCTAACAGCGCTAAGGCGGGGCTGCCTATCCCCGCAGATGCCCCTCCCGGTCGGGCTCCGCCGGCGCATCAGCCCTCCATAAATCGACCCCATGAACGGCTGCGGCCTCCTTCCAGGGCCGCCCGCGGAGCAGTCAGCGACGGTGACAAACCGATACTAACACCCCCGAGGGCGAAAAGAACCTCTCACGAAAACGCGCCCCACACCACCTTAGCGCAGCTATATACAAAACCGACCATCCCCTTCCGCTGCGCGAGCGTTTGAGAGGAAGGGTGGAACCTCGGTCACGTGAGGGGGAAAGGACCGGCTTCCCCCACTCTACTCACGTGGTGCCGGGGTAAGCAGAAGGGTCAGTGATGAGTGAATGCTAACGGTGTGTGAGGCGGAGCGTGCAGAAGAGGAGCGCGTCATGTGACGTCGAGTCAAGAAGTGACCTCGCAGCCTCGCGCGCGTGGAGAAGAGAGAGCCGAGCCGAGCCAGGCCGAGCCAGGCCAGGCCAGGCGCGGGGTGGTCACGTGACGGTGGTGGGCGGTGCCGCCGCTGCTGCTGCTGCTTTTGCTTTGTGAGCATATTGGGCAGGTATCGCGTGGGGGGGCTGGGGCTGCCGCCCGGAGGGGGTGGGGGCTGGTATTAGTGACGGTGACGGGGGGACCCACGCGCGCGCCTTACCCCTTCCTCCCCCATCCCTCCTCACCGTCTCCCTTAAACGCGCGACAGCTGCGGTGGTGGACTCGTGCGCCCAGATGAGGCCTGGTGCCCTTTTCCAGCTCAACGGTCCGAAGGCGGCCGTTGCACCCTCAGCGGTCTGAGGCCCCGGGACAGGCCCGCCGTCTGGGGCTAGTTCCTCATACCGGAACTTTTGTCCTGTGGCGGGTGTCTGCCGGGGCCGCCCCTCCCCGCCGGGCCTGCTGCGGGGGAAAATGGGGGTGGCGGCGTGAGGGGAGGCGGCTCTGCCCTACTTATCCTGACAGCCGCCCGCCCGAGGGAAACTTCGCCCTACTCTAGGTTGCCACCCTTTCTCCCCCTCCCCCCCGTATTCCCTCGGGGGCCGCTGAATAGGTCGTGGCTGCGGGCAGCTCCTGCCCTGCTCCGGTCCAGGTTCGTGTGGGGAGTGGAAGCCCACCCGGTGGATGTTGGGAGTGGTGGCTTAATTTTTTGCTCTTTTCTATTATCGAGAGGAGGTCCTGCACCCCCTTTTTATTTCTCATCTTGTTACAGCTGGGGGGTTCTCTCTTGAAAGTTTATGCTTCTTCTGGTTCCTTAGCTTGGGGGTGTGAAGAAAGGGGGGAGGGTGCAGTGGACCTCTCAGAGGAGAAGCGCGTCTGGTTGAGAGAGGTGTGTTTTTGGGCCTCTTTCTAATCTCGAGTCGGGCCAAAGGAAGGCTGGCAGCACGGGAAGGGAACAAGTGGGTGAATAACTATTGATTTGTGCCTTGTATAGGGTGTTACTTTCATGTTTTCTTTCCCCATCTCCTTTCCGGGTGCTTCTTCACCAGTGCGGTAGCGCAGCCGTGCCACTGTCACAGCTACAGAATTCACTGACAATAGCACATTGACAGCAACATTAGATTACTTTAGGATGTGTCAATGAATGAACCATTATCTCTGTTAACCTTTTCTACCTAGTCCTTCCTCACCCATGACTATATGTGCTTGTTGAGAATTGAAAGTTAGTGCAGGGCTTTACTATTGGACTGGCTTTTGTTGCATTTAAAAACAAAAAAAGAAAGCTCTTCTGTGTTTGCTATTGTTGCTGAAGAAAATTACAGCAGGAAAGTGAGCTGGTAGAAACCCTTCTGCAAGAAACTGGATGTAGAAAGGGACCTGGTGCACCTTTGAGCTTGGTGTATGGACATGCAGAGCCTCCTTGGTTACGTTCAAAGAAACATGCAATCTTGTGGGAACAGAAACTTCAGGTTTGGTGTGGAGCTATGTAAGGGGAAGCTCATGAGGGCTGACCTGCTTTGTCTCTAGCTATCAAACAGTAATCAGTCCTTAGTCATCTCAATTTAAGTAAATATTGATTACTTATAATACAGCAGCAGATCAAGGTGATAGCCTCTGGGGGGGGTGGTGGCTGGTGCAATGGAGAGGTTGTCCTGGCATGAGAGAAGCTGTTTTCAAGAAGACAAATTGAGATGGATCTGAGGGAAGGGAATGAGAGGGGGAGCAGCACTTGCCATTGAAACAGAGCCCTTCACAACAAATGGTAGCAACTTGGCCTTCTGAGGCTTTGCTTTTTTAATATTTACTAGGGCCTTTCAGTGATTCCTTTGGTTATATCACATTCTCTAGTGGAATCTGGGTTTGGATTCCTACCTGGCTGACTCAGTATTTATACCTGGACCTGATCTCTCTGTGGTGGTTTGACCTTACTTGTTTAAAGAATTTATTTTTAACCTTACACTAGGTAACTTGAAAGCAAGCAAGGCTAAATCACTTTGCAGCATTAATGATTTTTGGGACTCCTGGAGGGTTACATTGAGAAACTGGATTAACTGGTATAAACTAATTTTGTGGAAAGTGAACCAGCTTCTGTGTTTATAACCTCAACAATTTAAAGGAGGTAGGGAGGAGTGGGAATCTGTCAAGCTCTGTTCTACTTGTGGTTTTTCAGTATGTTGATTTTTTAAAAAGTATTTATAGTAATAAAACCAAAGGCATGGAAATTCAGAAATTTACACTTTCCTTTGCATTGTTTTGGCCAGTCATCAAAAAAGCTCCTGGTGCCATGATTTGCAAAAGGGTTTGACAATTTGAGGGGACTTGAGAGTTAAAAATTTACCACTAAAATCTATGAAAGCAAAGGGAAAACCCAACCAAAAAATCTTGTAGAAGATGCAGATTCAATGGATTTTGTGTTACAGAATCATTCAGTATTTGAATCCAAAGTTAAATGGAGAAAACAAATATTCTCTTAACCTCCAGATTTAAATTATTAGGTTGTACCTGCTTGGGGGGGGGGGAAGTACCCATCTTAATCTGTTAGGCAGCCTTGTGGTTGAAGGTGTAACATTTAAATTCAGTAGCCATGATCATATTCCTAAAAATTTTTAATTATTAGCTGTAGAGAGAGGAAGGGGTTTTTTTCAATTTTACTGTGTGGTATAGGCTTCATCTAGAAGTTGTATTTCTTATTGCTAAAATACTGTTCCTGGAAGTAGAATGTTTTAGAGACCATATTGAGATTGCTTTTGAGCAAAGAAAATGAATTATTATTTTTTTATTGTGCTTGTTTTGTTAAGTGTTTTGAGGATGGTGGATATAATAATATACAATGAAGCATATGGCTTCTGAAAACATTTTTGATTCCTCTTTCTATTTGGTTTTAAATGTTAACTGAATCATGGTTTTTTTATGATAAACACTTTTTGCCCATTGCCTCTGGTCTTGGGTACCACTGAAAAGAGCCTGGCTCTGTGCCTTCCCTTCAGATATTTATGTGCATTGAGACACCTTCCTCAAAGCTTTCTTCTTCTCTAGGTTAAACTACTTGACATAGATCTGTAGTCTTTCAGACAAACTCAGGGCCATATGCTCTTACATGCCTTTGACAAGGAGGTGGATTAAGGATTGAATTTAATGTAGGGGTGGTGGTAACAGTAGTTCTTGACTCTTGATAGGTGGAGGGGTGGGTGTGTCTGGCATATGTGTTTAAAGTGCTGTGAAAATGCAATAAGATGAATATTTCAAATCCAAATTATTTCTGTTCTTGCAAATAAGAAATAATTGGCTGTCTTTGCTCTAACTGAACTGAAGGCTATAATTCAGCAGTTCTGTGAGGAAAGAAACAGGTCAAGCATTTGATTGTCTGATAGTGATAAAATCGCTCAAGTCATGTGTATGTTCTGTTTTGGAAATGTGTGGGTTGTAAATGATGGATTAATGTACATACCGCATTTAGGAGAATTTAGGCTGAGGTGCAGTATGATCTCTACAGCTAATACCTGTAATATTTTAATACTGTTGCTAGAATTGAACACCTTAGTTAACAAAGAGTATATTCCAGGTGCAGTCTCAGAATTCTGAGAGTGAGATGCTGCAATTAATATAAATAAACTGAGATGTGAAGAGTACAAGTCCCATTTCTTTCAAAATGAATAACTTGATCTTGGAGCAGAGTGCTTGGTCTTTTAGATTGATGGTAAAATAGGTGACTAATATCTTCTTGGCATGTTTTAGAAAACAGACTTTCTACTTAGGTATTATAATGTTGCATTGCACAGTATATAAAGTCAGCATGTCTGTGGAATCAAGGGCTGTTAGTTTAGTGCAGAATACAAAAATATATTTAAAGGAAATGTAAGCTTTAAGAAAATGAATGAATAAATTTATGTGAAAAAAATTCTTAATGGTCTATCAATAGGAAGGAAATTTTAAAGAAAAACTATTTGCTAATTCAGATTTTTTGAACTTAAAAAAAAGGTTCTTTTGCCCATTCTTGGAAAGAAATGCTAGAGGAGAGTGAGAACCTCCTTCTGGAGACAGAAAACACATGGCAGCCAAACAACATATAAGTCCAACCTAAGGGTAGTTCACCCCCACTTCTGTTGGAAAGAAAATAAATACTGAATTAAGTGTGATACAAATTTGGACAGTTTGACATCATATGTAACTTACCTTCTTTAAAAAAGCAAAATGAAATTTATCTCCCATTTTTTACTTAGTTTCCTGTTGGGGTAACTCTGCTACATAAAAGGAATGAAGGAGCCTGTAATATTGTTAAATTGACCACGTGTCCAAGATGGTGATTTTAAACCTTTGTGTAACCCTTCTTGTTCCCATAAACCCCTCACTGTACCTGTGGAATGTCTGAGAGATAACTAGAAACTCATCTATTGGTTGTTAACCCCTTGTCATCATTGGTTGTTTGTAAGATGTCCTGTATTCTCACTGGTCACCCTGTGATCCCTCCAAAAGGTACTTAAACCGTTGTTAGATCAATAAAGCTCTTTTTGGCTCTCTTGGCTGCTGGACTCCCTGCGTGCTGTGTGGTCTCTGTCTCCTGGCATAGGGGCCTCCGCCGCCTCTCCCTGCCACGAGGAACGGGTGGCGGGGGGGGTGATCTCAGCCCTGGAAACCTTCACAGAGCGGCCGGGAGTGACCCTCCAGAAACCCCACCAAAACTGCAACAGTTTCCTAATCTTTTTAATGTTAAACACACAAGAACAGCTTGGATGACTTTTTGATAAAATTGTGTGGAGGGCACTTTATTTACCTGCTCCTTTCTAGTGTGTAGTATGTTTGAAGTTGTAAAGATTGTTAATCCTTCATCTCTATTGGATAGTTTGGTATCATATTGGCGTAGATTGCATAGACCTGGCCTCATGGAAAATTCTAGAGCAACATAACAAGAATAAGTGAATTTACACATGATACCAAGTTGAGAAGTTGTGATCATGAGAAAAATAATGCTCAAAATAAAGTAGGAAAACCTGGAGTAAAATCAAGTTTTCTGACTGAAGCAGGTCAAGGTGAGGTTTTTTATCAAAGGAAACTATAACCCCCCTCCCCTTGTTTAAAGCTAGACAAAATGCTAACAATGGTTGTGACCACAGAAGGAGCAATCCAGAGTTGGCA